AATAAACGTACAACTTATACCGTACTACTACTAAAACGTAAGAGTTTAGTTAACGGGTACCGGTACGATTCTACTACTGTGCAGGCGTCGCCGCACTGCTATATATATATATATATATATATATATATATATATCAACCTGCAGGGCCCTATGAAGGGGCTCAATCCTGACCCATGTTGGGCCGTTTCTGCTAGGCCCATCAAGCCAGCCCTACTGCTTTGTGCACCTGCTCATATCCTTCTCAAGTTGTAGTTAGTCTTCCATGCGTATCTGAGGTTAACCACTCAAAATAGAAGCAAACACATGCATGCACCCGTGCAACATACATGTTCAAATTGTGCATTTATTTTTGCATAGAAACTGGCATGCATATCATTTTCTTTACAGTTTTAAAAAAATATTCTGGATACTTTACATTTGTGCTCATGCCCATTTTTTTTATCTTTCTCAAAATGCCTTGAGGCTATAACTCCAAGCTCCAAACCAGGGGATTTTTTTTTTTGGCCTAGTTCTCAGGAATGTTTCGAACCAAATGTTTGGTTAATAAACCGGTTTGGAAAGTTCCAAACCCGATCACTTTTTTTTTTTTTTTTAAGCTAGGGTGGTTCAGATTCAGAAGTAGGAGTTTCAGAAATCCGGACTGAGTATTGTATAGTTAAAAGACTGACTGAAACCATGTAAAGCTCAAACCCTTTAGAAGAAGGGAATATAGTGTGTTCCTGTGGGCGAACAATGTAAATTTGATCCCTGAAATAAATTAATTATTTATATTGAAAAATTAATTATTAGAATCCCGGATTCTAAAATGGGTCCCAAAAACTTTAGGGGAAAAACAACATTTTACCCGTGGGAGCAAATGTATGCTGTGCACATGAAGGAGCACAATGCAAGGAGTTTACATTTAATGAGATGACCTCAGCTCACTTATGCCAAGAACCCCTTTTCTTTTGTAAACTGTCCCATTCAATTGTGCTCTTAGAGGTGCACACTATCCACTAGTCCCTCATGCAAATATTTGTTTTTTTAATTGAAATTTTGTGGCCCATTATAGAACTCGAGATGAGTTAAAAATTTGAGATCGGAACTTGAAGTTCTGATTTGAGAATTTGGCCTCAAAAAGAAATACCATAGTTTGGAACTTGAAATTCCGAATAGGGGGCACTTTGAAAAAATAAAAACACAGAGAAAAATAAGGCATGAGAGTCAAATGCACAATACCAGAAATATTTTTTTGTAATAATACAAAAAAAAAGAGATATTTTAATCAATTTCCCAGTTTCCTTTTCCTAAGTGAGAAGTGAGAATACATGTCATGCTATTAAGGCCTAACGCCCTAATTTTGGTGGGATGAGCATGTATGGGCTGTGCTCCAGGGCTCTAGCTTGCTCTGGGAGGTGACAAAAATTGCCTGTTAAAGTAAGGATTGGAAGTAAATATCAAGAGAAATTTTTTATGGAAAATTGTTTTGGACAGCATTTCTACATATGCGACTTAGAAAGTGTAAAGCATCCATTTAAAAAATGGATGTACGTAGGTGTTCCATCTAAAAACAATGGAAACTAACGGTCCAAATATTTTCATACTAGAATTATTATTTTTTAAAATTTATTTATTTTTTCATATTTGTGATCTCCATGTTAGAGATTGCATGTCCTTAAAAATTAAGTCTTAAAATTCGTTTCAAAATAAATTTATTAATAAGCCCGCATTTCTACACATGCGGGCTTGGCCACATAGAAACCAGGACCATTTTTTAATTTCTTGACTCTTTTCTTTTCTTTGAGATGTAGCATCATCTTCTAAACACTCAAGCAACCCTAATAGTTTAATTTGTACGAAGATCTGGATGATAAAACAAAAACCAATATTAAAGGTGCTAATTTTTAAACATGTATAAGAAATGGAAGTATAGGTGCGGTATTATGCGTACTCTTGAATGGTGCATGAGAACTATTCCAATGGTTCATACTGGACGGAAGAAAATAGACGGCCACGATTGCACATAATGTTATAACCTTAATTTATATTTGATTAATTTAGGTCCCACATTCTCAATCAGGCAAACATAGGGAGACTTATGGCCTTAGAGAGGGTATGGTCTTTGATAGATCAGAATGACATACCATGATTGTATAGATCGGTCTCAAAATAGTTGGAAAAATGCTATGATGATGATAATTGTCAATCAGACACACTTAAAAAGTATAAAAAATAAATTAATCAAAATACCCTAGATACATTCAAGAGTAGACGTGCCAAGATTGCATCAACACCAACAAAATTTCATGTGAGTTTAATTTGTATAAAAATGTAAAATTACAAAATTAAATACGATCGTAGCCATCAATTTTCTTTGACTTCCAACATCAATTGTTGGATGGGGCTTGTGTTCCATTTAAGAGCTCTTTGACTTCCAACATCGATTGTTGGATGGGGCTTGTGTTCACATTGTGCACCATTTAAGAGTCCACATGAAGCAAGCAGTGGATCATCCATGCAATATCGCTTCAATGTAGAACCCATGTTAGATGGCTATTGTTAGTCTTGGCTTCTATGAGTTGCTTAAATATTAAACGGATGTCCTATATATTATCTTCTTTCTAATATTTAATCAGCCCCGTTGGCCACGGCCACGGCCACGGCCACAGCCTAGGCCCTTTTTTTTATTTTTTTTTCTTTTTCTTGTTTTTTTTCTTCATGCCCATGCCCATGCCCATCCCTATGAGGGCAAGTGTTGGCTGCCAGACCTGTTGCAACACTTAGTCTTAATTAGGGCTCGTTTGGTTCGTGTGAAAACTTGTATAATGAAACAGATTGCATAGGAAACATACAGTTACACATGTCTGGTTCACATTCCATTCCAATTTTTAGAAGATAATGATTAGACCCTCACTTGGGGAACTATCCCAGCCGTCTTAACTCGAGCTTCATCAATAAACAACGTCATGCCTCGCCTCTCTCATATTTGATCATGCCAACCCATTTAGAATTAATTTTGGGGATGTAACAACAAATATTGTATCTTCTATGCACTTCAAAACAAATTTCTCCAGATTGAATACAGACCATCCAATTTTTAGATGAAGAGATCCAAGTGTTAGACAAAAAAACTCAAATTTCAATATTTTTTTTAAAATAATCATCTGGCAATTCTTAAGTTGCTCCCAAAATTTTATATGAGAACGTAGCTCGTCAATCAAAATTAGTTGTCCAAAGTTTTTTACTTTTGAGTTTCTTAGTAGGAATGAACAACCTCACGTCCCATTCCAATTTTTGGACGATAACGATGAGCTTCATCAACTATGCCTCTCTCTCAAGCTTCTTCAATAAACAAGGCCATGCCTCTCTCTCTCTCTCTCTCTCTCTCTCTCTCTCATATCTGCAATGTGCCAAAGTTCAAAAAATTGTTTTGTTTTGAATTAAGTCGATAACGCACTCACAACCACCTGATTTCAAATCCAAATTAAAATCCAAATGACAAGATAAATTGTGACATCCTAATATTAAAAATAAAAATAAAAGGTCGTTTTGTATACTTTTTCATAAAACAAATAGTGCACAAATTAAAAAAAAAAAAGGTACAGATGCTCGAACCTCCAAGCCAAGTGGGCACAATGCCTAACCACCAAAGCCATTCAAAAATTTTCTCATGACAATATATTATATATTGAACGGATCACCGATTCCGACCAGGATTTGGCACAATCCTCAATGACTCCCGATCCGGATTAGTGTCAACTTTTCAATCACTAGTGCCTATATTCCTCATTCCAAAACTAAGGTACTTCTCAATACAATATATAATGAGCCAACAGAAGAAGAGAACATCAACTGCTGAAGTCAATGCATGCATTATTCAAAAGCCTGAAAGATAGGAGTCATACTGGAAATTTTTGATACGAGAGGCCAATTGAAGTAGTATCCTATGGTCCACCTTAAGACTCTAGCAGCAACCCCCCACTTGGTAAAAAATATCTTTGATTTCCATGTCTTCGTTTGGGTATTCATTTGGATAAAAACTGTATGAATGAGACAAGTGCAGAGTCCTGAGAGACCCCAACTTGCAAAGAGCTCGGCACAAGTCGCTTAATGTTTCAATGTTGCTTCCTATGGACATGAATTCAAGGTCCTAGCACCTGAATCAAATAACAATCAGGCATGGTCACACCAAGAGAGAGACATAGGCCTGGCAACGGGCGTGGCCTGGCCTGGGGCCGGCCCTGGCCCAGGTCCCTATTGACCTCACCTTGTCTTCGCCTAAAAGAATGAAAAATAAAGTAAAAGTCCCAGGTTTATCCAGACAGACCGCGGCCTAATAGCCGACCCCAGAAAAAGATGGATTCAACTCACCTACTAACAATGTGAAGGATATGGGTATCATTAGTGAAGAATTGGAAGAAGGAAATTGAGGTGATTTGACCCTTTGCAAGCCATAGCAGTCTTTCCAAAAGCCTCTCAAATCTGTTAATCGTGCAATGAATGGATGGATCCATCATGTTCTATTTTCCAACCGATGAGCGGCCACTTGTGAAGATCAAGATGCTTCCAGCACAAGAGATCTCACAGAGCTTCATGCCACCAGCGACATACAAATGGAACAATAAAAAGCCTCACATTCCATTCTAATTTTTCAAATATATTGATTAGAACATCTCTCGGCAAAGTTCCCCAGCGCTCTTCTTGAGCATCATCAACAAACAAAGGCCATGCTTCCCTCCCTCTCTCTTTACTCAATGAAATCTGTGAAGCTCTTTCCCTGTAAAAGGAGGATCTAATTTAGGACCTCACGATTTGCTTGAAATGGAATTGAGAAGATGCAATTTAAGGAGATAATACTATTTTCTAAAGATTACATGCACTGAAATTCTAAGGACACTGTTTGTTGATCACCATCTTTATTTTCTTTGTTCATGAAGAATAGTTGCATGTAAGATTTTCAACTGAGTCTGGATTTTTATCTTTTTGGTTTTCTGAAATGCAAATTTATAATTTAAAAGTAATTTATGACCCTAGAAAATTAGGGATATGAAATTTCTGCCAATTCTTAAAATCATCTCACATTGATCTCTTCCACCACTATAAATAGTAAATAGTGTATTGATAAACTAAGAATTTTATTATGATTCCATCTTCCTACTTGATCTATATTAGCATGAAGCCACTTAGAGAGCATTAAACTTCAAAGGGACGGTATAAAAGGTTCTCTCAATAAAAAATTGTTATATAATAAATAGGTATAAGTAATACTAATTATAATTTATGTGACGTAAAATTGATTTCTTCGGAGGAAATATTTTCATAGTAAGATCAGCTCTGACCTTTGGATGTAAAATCAGGTTACTAAGGGTATGCCATTGATTGGGCTTGAAGTCCAAAAGAAAAAAAAATCCGATGGATGGGAGTCATTGTAACCCACTTGCACCAAAGATAAATGGTCTTACAGTACACAGTCCCTTAAAAAGAAAAAGTAATGCAAGATATATGAAGTTAGGATAAAATCAGAACACAGTATGGTGGATCCAAACTACATGCATGTCCCTTTAACGATAACTACAGAATGTACCATTAAAGATGAGTATATGCATGTCCTTTAAAGCTAACTAAAATGCACCATTAAAGGTGATTATTGGAGGTCAAAATTGGAGAGAATACTTCAATAAATAAAATAGTTTCTAGCTGAAGATACACGAGTTGCCTCTAAACGCGTTAGAGAATAGAAAAGCAGCATAATAATTGTAGTTGCATGAAGAAACAATAAAACTAATAAAACAATAAAGAAAAGTAAAAAAAAAACAGTTTAATTATATGGATAAAAGATACAAGTAACTTGCCATAAAAATTGAACATACCACAGAAAACCAAATAAAACCCAAAAAGCAATTAATTATAGCAATTCAAATAAGAAATAGTAAATCTTTATGTGTTTTAATTATGTAAACAAAAAATTTATTACTATGAAAATCTCAATTAAGAAGAAAATGAAACAAAACTATTATTATAGAAAATTATTCATGTGTTATATAGAAAAATATTTGGAGAGTTACCAAGCTACCTAAAACATAAGTCTTAGTCCAATATTCCACATAGTTACACATAAAATGGACAAAAATACATGTTTTTTTTATTACACCTAATTATCCAACATTCCAAAAAAAATAAATCAAATTCATCCATTTTTCAAAGAGAATAAATAGAAAAATAAAATAAAATAAAAAAAGGAACCTAAAATTTTGGATAAAATATTATTAAATAATTCACGGTACAAAAAGAAATGGAAAGAAATTTTAAGAAAATAAAAAGCACACCTTTAAACAAACTTTAATCTTAATTTACAACCAAAGAGTAGAAAACCAAAGAGTGGAAAAAAAATCATATTATATCAAACACATAGCTGACCACACAAAATAAATCAAAAAATAGAAGCAAAATCACAAAAAAACATTAAATTATTAAAAAAAGAAAACAAAAGCATCAGATACAATTCACGATAAAAATTTATGGAAAATTATTTATCCAAAAAAAAAAGCTAGCATACCTCAGCCCAATTCAATGAACATTTCAATAGAAGAGGTCAATAAACAGCATATTTTGATGGAAAAAATATCATAACTATCATAAACAAATAAAATAGTTTCATAGTTAAAAATACAAAAGAAATAGTTTCATAGAGAAAATAGTTAAAAAAACAAAAGAAGTAGAAAGAACAAATATCTTACCCACTTTTATCTAGGTCACAACAAAGTAGGACTGCAATTCATGGAACACCTATCATCATTACCGTTGAAAAAACTAATATCACAGATAAAATAATGAAGGATACGAAGTAGTAGATAATAAAACCAAAGAATTTCAAATGTTAAAATAATAGTTAGATGAAACACTCAAAGCATACCCTTTTGGTTGATGAAGAGTGAAGAAGCAACAGATATGTAATGGAGAAAATAAATAAGTTTCTTAAACATCATCATTAGGCCTTTAAAGTTGAAGAGAGAGAAATTTCACTTTGAAAATCTTAAATGTTAAATCTTTTGAAAAGTTCTTGTTGGGTTTAAAAGGTTAGGATTGCATTTAGGAGCTTTGGATGGATGAGAGAGAGAGAGAGAGAGTAGGGAACTTACCCATCAGTGGAAGAGATAGAGAGTACATGGAGAGAAAGAGATTGTTAATTTCCTTTGGGGATGAAAGAGACCCAACTTGCCCATTATCCCAATCCTAGAATCTGTCTCTCTCTCTCATTGGGATTCTACCCGAAATTCTCTATATGAATAGGCCTATCTTCTACATGATTGCCACGTGTTTTACCCTAAACTTGAGTTAATAGGGTCGACTGCTGTAAATTCTCTAACAAAATAGAAAAAGAACATGCAATAATAGCAGGATGATGTAAAATCTAGGAGTGAGAGTTATGGGTTTGGAAAGATCGAATACAATGAGGGTATGTCTTTAAGTCTATGTATCCTCTTGCCTCTTACTAAAACTTTGCTTTCACTAATCTCTATATCTCTCTACGTATGTCTTATCACTTGCCTCTCCCCCAAAACAAGGATAACATATATTTATGTAGCCCTAAAACAAAGGTTGTCTCACAATAGACATTTTACATTCAGGTGAGAGTATTGTTAGAATGCTTCTCGCTATCCTTCTCAATTGGGATTGTTCTTTGTTAGATTGCATCATTCAAATGAGTACAAAAACTGATAAAAGAAAATATGGAGCTAATAACTTGAGGTTCAATGAAACTCAATGCTCAAACCCGATCAAAGCATATTAAAACGTCAGCTAAAGGTAGAAAAATTGGAAGTCACAAAAAGTTCACCTAGAACATTCAAATATAGCAAAAAATATGAAATCACATCCCACATTAGGCAAACTCTCTTCTGGTCCTTGAATATGCCAGTGAATTCTCTTTCAGGCTTCCTTTCAACTGAAACTTCCACAAATCTCCTTCCATACACTTCTTGTCACTTTGCAAGTCAATCTCCTTCTTCACCCTAAAAGAAGTATCTCTCTATAAAAATATCATTGTTCTTCCATGGCATGCCCACTCTTTCATTTTGTTTATTGTCTATCTCTTTAATATCATGATAAACTCGGAGGAGAAAAAGAGAAACAGTAAAAGATTCCAGACCGTTCAAGCAAAAGGAATGCTCTAAACACCAAGAAAGAAGGGCTCTAAACATCATGAAAACAGCTAACATAAGGAGTCACATGACAAAAAGAAAATGTGCCCTCTGGATAAGAAAGATATTCATAATGGACAGCAACTAAGAGATTTCAACATTTAGCAGTATAAAAAAATGACATGTCATCAATGCGTAAGCTCTTATAAGAAGACATTTGCTAATATGCAGTTAGTTGAGTCTTCCATTCTTTCTTCATTGACATACAGATGGCTTGTCAGAATTCCGGAATATACGGTTACAATTGTTAGAAGTGAAGAATCCATTTTTTCTTCGAAAACTAAGAAATCTATAGTACTTTCAAAATATGCTAAGATGGATGCATATCTTGGCTACTTAATAAGGACCAATGCAACCACACCCTTGAAACGTAACCATATGTCAGCAAGCATGTTGATGCGGTTGGCATGGAATAAGCATTTAAATGCTTAATAACTAATTTTGGTTCCTGCTTCCTAGAGCATATTTTATAACGATATTGACCATAAACACAATCCACTGACCTTTGCAATGCACAGTTCATATTGTGTTCATATTCATAAAAAGAAATTCCAATCATATGAGATAATGTTCGTATACAAAGATGTGTATTCCAAATATTATTGAAGCAACCACACTTGTAACTCAAAAAAAATTGCATTTCTACTATATTAAGTTGAAATTTAGGTCCATAAATATGAATTTGGTGACAATTACATCGCACCTTACTGCCACAACGTCAACAAAAGTAAACCCATCATTGCCATATGTTCCAATATTAGTCACACAAAAGTGAGAAAACAGGGGGATCATGACGCAAATAGAAAAATTCAAGTATATAAACTGGAATATATCCAGAAACATATATCACACAGGATTTACATTTAATATTGATGTGAAAACTGCATGATACTTATAATTGTATCAATCAATTATTATTACCCAAAAACTACATAAATTCCAAAAAGGGCACAAAAACATTGAAAAGAAGAAACTCCCTATATAAAACAGCATCAAATCACAAAATAAAATAGCAAACCTATCCCAAATCATCATATTTGCAATATGAAAATGTAAGAAAATGAGATTTCTCATCCACTAATGGGTGAGAAAAATATGCTTCAATCTGAATATCAAGGAAATCAGTATGTGCAAACCCTACAAGGCAAAATATATACATAAACGAACAAATAAACATGCAAACAAAGTATATTTTAAAAAAACGTTAAACATGCAAACAAAGTATATTTAAAAAAAACGTTAAACATGCAAACAGTTTGTACCAACCAATGAGATATTCACCGCCTAAACAAGAGAATAACCAAATTAAAAAGAGGAAATAATATGAAATAAGGAATATTGTACCACATTAGTAATGAAATAAGGAATTTAGTACCACATTAGTAATTAATTTTGCTGGATCGTGCAAGAGAGGCAGCCCAAGATTCTGCACACAAAAACATTTGCACATTATCATGAACAACTAAAAATGAGAAGAAAAAAAAAAACTAAATCACAAAGCTCAAGATTGCAATAATATAAACGCTTAAGAAATAATCAAAGAAATTATTTACAAAATCCATACAAAAAAATTCCAATTTCAGAGAACTTGGGATTTTGCTTTGAAATTCTCAGAAAATGTACTTATTTCAGAGAAAAACCTTAAATTCGAAACTCTAGATTTCAAAGCCCTTATTTCAGATAAAACCCCCAATCCAAAGCTTTGTAAAACCCTCGATCTCTATAAATTCTGACTGTAAATCGTTTGAAATTGATTAACCCCCTCTGTAAAAACCCTACTTTACAAACAAGATCAAAGGTGGTCGAGGAAGAACTGGCATAGACACAATGCTTTGTGCCCTCTGGGTTAAAGAGAGGTAGAGGTCAAGGGATAAAGGCTTACAGTGACAAGCATTAAAGGTTAGGGTTCGCAGTGGAGAGGGAGTCTGAAGGTGGCGAGAGAGAGATCACAGTGGTAATGACGGGAGTAGAGTGACGAGAGGGGGCGATAGAAATATCAAACTTGCAATGAGAGTAGAGTGAGAAAGTGCAGGTCACAATATGCTCTCGCGGGAACAAGAAACCAATTTAGAATGGAAATGGTTTTTTCGAGGGAAAATTGTATCATGCAGGATGGACCGCATGACTATATGTGCGGTCCAAAAAGTGTACAACATCAATCTTAAAGATGATGGATGCAAGTTGGAGTTTAAAAACAATGGAAACTAACTGTCCAAATGTTTTCTTGACTAAAATTATTATTTTTAGTTTTAAAATGTACTTAATTTCATATTTATGATCTAGGTTACATGTCCCTAAGAATTAAGTCCAAAATTTCATCTCAAAAATAGATTTATTAATACGCCGGCATTTCTATATATGTAGGCTTGGTTGCCTAGAAACCGGGTCCTTTTGAGTCCTAGGATTTGAATGTAACATATTTGGTTTCTATGCGGCCAAGGCCGCATATGTAGAAATGCGGGTTTCTTAATAAATTTATTTTTGAGATAGATTTTAAGACTTAATTTTTAAGGTCATATAATCTCTAACATGGAGATCATGGATACAAAAAAATAAATAAATTTTAAAAACTAAAAATAATAATTCTAGTAAGAAAACATTTGGACTGTTAGTTTCCATTATTTTTAGATGGAACATCTACTTGCATTACACTTTCTGAATCGCATATGTAGAAATGCAGTCTAGCCCTCATGAAACAATTTTCCAATAAATATAAATAGTATTATGAATAGCAGTGATTTTATGCAACGGTTGTATAGTAATATAATGCAACAACCTTCAAAATTCGGTGATTGGGATGAAATCGTTCGATTTGGATCATGAATTATTGACGGTAACTCGGATGCATAATATATCGGGATTCGGATGACCCCCCTTTGAATCTTTTAAAATGTTTTTGCTGCTTGTGCAATTTTTCAAAAAAAATTTAACAAGAACAGCATGAGCGCATCCAATCTTTATGGGAAGCCATTGTCACCTACCACTCCAATGATGTGTGAGCACAATTCACCTTCTCGCGCATGTGGTTACCTAGTACACATTCTAAGTATGTGTAAACTCTTTTGCTTGTCGCGCAATTTTACACTGTGCACTATTGCGCTTCTTACTTCTTGCATTTGATATAAGTCTCTCTCACTCTCCCCCCAACTTTGGTGTCTCTCTCTTTGGAACTTATTTGCTTTGTGATATAACTATCTCTATCTCCCCCCTAACTTTGGTGACTCTCTCTAAAGTTTGTTCCATTAATAAGTTCACTAAAATTAATGCCATTAAAATTATCTCTCTACTAAGTAGTACAAACAAATAATTCCACCAAAAGTTTCACTCTTTCTGTCTACGAACAACCTATTCCATTAAATTTGTCCCATATAGTTTATTTTAAAAATTTAAACTTCCAAGTTAATAGAATAATTAAATAAATTGAATTAGAGATATTCATGTTATTGTCATATTGCATTTTAAACTCTATTTCGATTATAAAATGAATTTTAATAGACAACAAATACTCAACGTGAGATAGGTTCTCAGTATTTATATATTTTTTACTCAATAATGAGAAACCGTAATGCAATTGACACTTTCTTTTAGAAACCTACAAAATTGGATTTTTGAAAAATTATAGTGCTTTTTAAAAACTTTTTAGGGCAAAACTGTCCGATTCTGTAATCCGGATCACCGATCCATTGATCCACACAATTTTTGGGGCGGCTGATCCGGATCAGCGATTTGTTTTTTAATCCTTGGTATTATCTAGATTGTTAATTTTTAAAATTTTCAAATGTCCATAGATCTTTTTAATCTACATTATTTCTCTATCTTTATTTTATAGTTAGAGATAAAAATAAAATGTTTACGCCATCACAAAAAATTCTAATGTTGAAACAACATGTTTCAGCACTATTTGAAGGTGTGCCTTACTTTGATTGGTTAGAGCCTCATCCTTATACAAGCCACGCCCTTTAAAAAGAATAAGTTGTTTCATGCGGGCTCAACTGCATTTCCACAATATGCAGTCTAGAGGTATAAAGCATCCATCTTAAAGATGGATGCAAATAGGTGGTCCATCTAAAAACATTTGTAACTAACGGTCCAAATGTTTTTTTAATATAATTCTTATTTATAATTTTAAAAAATATATATCATATTCATGATCTTCGTGTTAAAGATTATATATTCTCTAAAAATTAAGATCAAATTATATTGAAAATATATTTATTGCCAAGACTGCATTTCTACAATATGCGGGCTGGCCGTATGCTTACCGCATCCTTAAAAAAATGATAAACAAACAAGATAACCACATAATAAAAGAAAACAAGGAGAATTTTTGTAATTACATTATTTATGGGTTTAAATGATGATGTCGATGAAAGATATAATAGTAAATTATTCAATAATGAACTATCTCTCTTTCATTTTTTTGTTTTTTTGGGTAATTTAGTGCGGATATACTCATAAGTTTTTTCAATAATGAACGCTCTCTCTTTATCTCTCGTTTGTTTTTTGGTAATTCAAGCTCTGTTTTTTAGCAATTCAGTGGGGGAGACACGCCCCAACCTATTTTTTCAAATAATAGTTCAGGAGTTAGATTTCTTTTTAAAGTATTAGTAGGTTGGTGTTATTAGGAATGAAAACCACTACGTAGTTACTAGTGTGTGGGGTACTACCACCATGACCAAGCCCCTTTTACATTCCTTAGCATGGTGGGAATGCCGGTGCAGACAGAAAGATAAGATTGAAATTGTTGAAGCACGTTTGGGGCATAGTTAGCAAGTCGGGGACTATTAATAAATTGGCTCACAATAAAATCGAAAACAAATCGTTTTAATTTTAAAAAGTCGGATGAAAAAATTGGGTAAAAAATATGGATCGGAAAAAATACTTCATATAAAGATATCGGTAATATATCAGGATTAGGCTCAAAAAATCGGAATAAAAAAATTGGATAAATTTATAATATTAGAAAATTTGAAATTCTAAAAAATAAAATTTATGTCAAAGCCATCAATAACTAATTCATCTATAAAAACTTTACTAGACTAATATGATTAAGTGAATTAATTTAGATGCCTCGTGACTCTAATACAATCCCCCAATATGAAATACATAATTAACTAGTATGTAACAAAAAAAATTGTACCATATAAATCTACCCATTACATACCAAAAACAAATATACTATATAAATTTATTCATTAAGTACTTTAACTATAGTATGATGATAAATATAATATATAAATTTATTCATTAAATACTTAAACATCACACCTACTTGGCAGGTACAAAAAAAAGGAAAAAGTTTATAGAAGGCTGCAACCTTATATGTAGAACTACGGATGTACCTCAAAAATCCATCGGAAAATGTAGTTTTAATGTTGAAAAACCCTTTGATTGATCATCTCGAATCGAGATTTATGACCATGAAAAATAAAAAGATTTTAAGTCTCATAAATAGTGTATTTTACAACATATTATCTACACCGTCCATTTTCAAGATTTTTATATGTTTATAGATCTACTTGATTTTAACCATTTTTTAAATTTAAAATTTTATAATTAGATATAAAAATAGATTTTGAAATAATCCTAGGAACATTTTACATCAAAATTATATACCATTATAAAATTTGAAGGTGCATTTTACCTCAATCGCTACAAATGCATCCGTATGCCAATTGCATTTAAAAAATATACACGATTTTTGTTTTCTCATTAGAAGGATTTAACTATAGTATGGTGACTATGGTCACACCATAACTATAGTTAAAATACACCATAACTATAGTTAAAATTTTATGAATTTCTTTAATTGGTAAGAGACCCGTAAAGAGAGCTCTCTGTTTACGGTTTAGAGAGAGAGGAGAAAGAAGGAAGAGACAAGAATAGGGCTGGGCTCATAGCCAGGGTTTATAGAGAGAGAAGAAGGAAGATGTCATGAGCTTCACAAACCTTAATGGAAGAGGCCCTATCTGATTTTTAGAAAGAGAAAAGAGAAAAGGAAGATGGGAGGCTGATTTGGAATAGTTTGAAGAGGGCTTTTCTTCTGATTTGGGATGTTGTTTGAGAGAAAGCCCTAACTCTACTGATTTGTCGAGAGGCTAATTTGGGATGTTGTTTGAGAGAGCCCTAAACTATGCTGATTTGTCGAGAGGCTAATTTGGGATGTTGTTTGAGAGAGCCCTAAACTATGCTGATTTGTCAAGAGGCTTTAACTGTATTTTTAGAGAGAGCAAAGGAAGAGGGTTTCCCGTTTTCTTGGGAACCAGCAAGCGGAGCTGAAATATTAGGTTTTGGGACAAATCCTATTTGTAGAATTGCTTGCTCCTGTAAGTTTACAATTTACAATATATTGTTTATCACATAATCAAAAGCAAAATATTGATTACTTTGTCATGTAGTCACACTCTCTGCTTCTCATTTATCAGTAAAAGACTATGTTTTGAGCTCTAATTTGTGCCATAAACAGTATTTCAATAAAGACAATTATCACAAATAATCACAGAAGTATGCATGTATATGATTTTCTTCACACGATGATTTACTTTACAAAATAATTTTCTATAAATAGTATTTCATTTACACAATAATTTTCCACAATAACACTGAAATCTGCATCTATTTATTTAAGGTTTTTTAAAAAAGGGAAAAAAATTCACACCTTCAATCTGCAACTGTGGCTTTGAACAACATAGTGGGGATAAAAATTTATATTTTAGGTTTTTTTTGAAATAATATTTTTGTTTTTTTCAAAAACATAAAAGTAGCAATGGTTGGAATACACAAAACCGGGGAAAAAAAATATCTTTCAAAAAAAATTTATAGGTAAAAAAAGGATGCAGTTTTTTGGCCGGATTTAAACTGTATTATAAAAAAAAATACGCTTTAAGCGTTTTTAAGAAAAATACATGAGTTTTTTCCGACCTTTTCAATAAGTCACCTTTTAAAACTGTTTCCATAAAAACGCCTATTTTTAAAAAAAATCCCGGATTAAACGGCGATTTGCTAACTATAGTTTGGTGGGGAGAGGCCGCAATCCGCTGACGTTAAAATATATGTCTCCAATGGCTTATTATTTTCAACAAGATGGAGCGTGGCGACCCCCCCTCTCTCTCTAACCTCCTTTTTATTGTTCTCTTTCTATAAGCTATTCTTCATCTTATTCTTAACACGTCTCTCTCCAAAAAGTTTACCAAAAATGGTAGATCCGACATCGACCAATTTTCAAATTGATCATCTCGACTTTGATATGCGTCATTAAAAAAAGAATTAAAAAATATAGAATGAGAGCACTTACCTTATTTACCTTTAATACAAGGTGGTAACAATAATCTTGACCATTTGATGTAAAGTTAAGTTGCTGTAATTATTCCATTGACCAAGCTCAAATTTCAAGAGAAATTTACTCGAATTTTGTGACACATATAAGCTATCAAATTTCACATCAAATGGTTGTAAGGAATTGTGACCACCTTGTATAAAAAGTAAATGGCTATCATTATATATAATCCAAAAAATTCAAATCTCAATCCCTAAAGGAAAACGTTTATATAAGTGCGAGGCTCTAAACAATCAAATAAGGGGGCACCTCAAAAATTTCACTATAAAATGTTGTTTCGAAGCTCAAACATCCTCAAATTGATCATTTTGACATCAAGATACATGGGCATGATAAAAAAAAGGGATTTCAAGTTTTGGAAATAGTGCATATTGGAATACATTTTTAGACAGGCAATTTTCAAGTTTTTTATGTTTTCATATACCTGCTCGATCTACATTGTTTTTTAAACTTGAAATTTTAAAGTTTAAGATAAAATTTTGTTTTAAGGTTATCATAAATATTTTCAGTATTGAAACCACATTTCTCGACACTATTTCAAGTGCATTTTACTTTGATTGTTTCGACTCTATTCAAACCACACCCTTGATCAATTTCTAAAACTAGTGTATATAGTAACAAATTATCTAAATTGTCTACTGCGCTCTAAAAACATTTTTTCATAGATATGCAAGGTTTGTATTATATTTTGAGCATCAAATTTCATTATCGGTACTAAAATTTAATTTTGGAGCCAACATAATCCGAGCCCAAAGTTCTTCATGACGGGAACTCTATATGGAGCTTTACTTTGTTTTCATCAAATCTAGGCTTTATAGTAAAGAAAAAGTTTATAGAGAACCGAGGCTCTAAACAATCAAATTAGAGCCCACCTCAAAAATTTTATTAAAATAGGTTGTTTTGATGTTCAAATATCTTTAAATTGATCATCTCAACATCAAGATGCACGGACATGAGAAAAACAATAAATTTCTAATATTGAAATCACATTTCTCGATACTATTTAAAGGTGCATTTCACTTTGATTATTTAGAGACTCACTCTATACAAACCGCACCCTTAGTTATATCGCAGGGCGAGAATGCTGGTACGGACAAAAGATGAGATCGAGACCGTTGAAACACGTCTGGAGGGGTGAGGCCGCATACATTAAACCGTCATCTTCACTAGTATCTGCCTTCAAGAAACACATGCTTGGAATATTTGATGGTGACCTCTTATTTTCAACATGATGGAGAGAGGCGAACCCCTCTCTCTAACCTCTTTTTATTTATTAACTCTCTCTCTCTAAGCTATTTGTATTATTCTTTGTACATTTCTCTTAGGAAAGTTCAATGAAAATTGTAGTTCGGACGGGCGTCAAAAAACTTTCGAATTGATCGTCTTGACCTTGATCACTAGTCAAAAAAAACAAAAGTTCAATCTCTAAAACCACATTCTCTGCACTATTTATTTCATCTAAAAATAAGTGTTTAGAGATCCACAAAGTCGGTATTATTCTATGAGCTTCAAATTTTATAATTCGTATTGAAATTAATTCTAGAGTTAGCATAAAAATTCCAAGGCCCAAAGTTATTTTTGACAAAAACTTCATGTGAGGCTTTACTTTTGTTTTTATAAAATCTAAGCTTTAAAAAGAATTTATCCATTCATCCCTCAAGTTGAAAGCCCCTTCCCCTTTCTCTCTCTCCAACTCATTACTGTCAAATTTGAAGCCATTTCTCTCTCTTATGATGGATGCCTTAACGGCCTTGGTCCCCAAGTTAGAGGTCCTCTCTCTTTCCTTCCATGTGGTTATAGAACTGTTTGTTTTTTGGAAAAAGTTAGCAAGAGCAACTTTTGGAATAAAGTAAAAGCATTGGCTTTATTTATTAATGATGTGATTAATATGCCTTCCCACTGTATAGATATAACAATATGCAAATAATTGTGGATTATTTGCTCCCGCATGTGTTTACTCCCACGGGTAAAAACTTGAGAAGTATTTCAAAGGCTTTGAAATATAACCTTGCAACCTAGCCGAGAACTAAAAATATACCCATATCATCGCAAGAGTGGATGGATAATGTCTTTCAAAGGCATGTAGCAGATTTCAAATAGTTAAAAATATTTTTTGTTACTGATAATGGTAATCTATATCTCAAATTTATAATGTACTAATGGTAAAATATCAAGGAAAAGTTTATATAAGATTGTAACTTTAAAATGTAGAACTATGAATGCACCTCAAAAATCTATTTGAGAGTTGTTTTAATGTTGAAAAACTATCTAATTGATCATCTCGTCACTGAGATGTATGACTATGAAAAAAAATGGATAGGAGTCCCTGACAAAGTACATCTTACAACATATTATCTAGATCGTCCATTTCATATGTTTATTGATCTACTTGATTTTAACCTTTTTTTAAATTTTAAAATTTATAATTAGATATGAAAATAAATTTTGAGATAATCCTAAGAATATTTTATATCAAAATTATATGTTATGATAAGATTTAAATGAGCACATTAATTGGGTTGTTTAAGGTTGTAACCTTATGGAAACCACACCCAAATATTAAAGGGTTATATTAGGGTGCTCACACTATAGAGTATTTTATAATTGTACTCAATAAATGTTTAACATTTATATAATATTGTTTTGTAATATAATATTTTTTAATAAAGGTATGTTTTATCGAGGGGTATGACATCATCTACATGTGTTTGACATCATCTACATGGGATGTAACATGGCTCACATGAAACATTATATGCCACTAGTGTGCTCTATGTGGGTGATGTCATACTCCATATGGAAGATGTCATACATTTTCTAATGATAAAAAATATATTTACTAAAAAATGACCCATGTACAAAACAAATGTATACAAGTGTTCAAAATTTGTTGAGTACAATTGTAAAATGTTATATAGAGTGAACACCCTAATATAAACTCAATGTTAAATAGTTCAACTTTGGCTCATATTCTATGCTCCTATAAGAGCTTTGTGTACATATACTCTTATCTGTCAAAATACCTACTTTGGAGAATTTTTTTCAAATTATAAATTTTAATAACCACTTAAGATTTATTAGATAATTTTCAAATAAAACATTGAATTTTAAGTCTTATGACATTTAGATCTCACTCTCTCAAAATTAGAGGGTATCCATGCAATCTCAAGATAATTTTTTTTTAAGTGCATAGAAAGTGCAATTAGGAATTATTTTCTTTTTATTGATATCGGTCTATGGCTCCTAAGAGACCACAATCCCAATTTTTGGGGTCCTAAAGTGAAATGTGAGGTCCTAAAAGTTAGTCATGGATTGAGTATGAGTAAATGGACCGTTTACACACGTTAAGAGTATAAAATCTTTTAGCTTAAACGTATTTTGATATACTACTCCAAATATAATTTGAGATTATATTATAAAAACTATTTACCTATGATAGAAGAAGGTCACAATTTATCAATAAGAAGTCGAATTTGATGGTTTGGGTTGTTTTATTTAGTTCGAAATTTTTTTTTTTTGAACTTTAAACATAATTAAGGACATACACTTAGTAACTTGGTTTTAAATCCAATGGTTAGAGGTAGCTGTGACCTCCATCTGCTTCTCGAATACTTCCCCGTATAATTTTTACAAAGGAAAGGTCTTTGCCAGAGAGGCTAAACATACAATTTGCTCCCATGGGAACACGCTAAAAGAAAAGAGCTTTGCGTTGTCACATCATCGAATGAAAAGATAGAAATGACGTAGAAAAGACGACCAGTGACTAGACCTACCAAGAGGGGTCATCTTGATAGCATATCGCCGTACGAACTTTGATTGGAGGGTGATAACCCATCGATTGGTCCAGTTTCCATAAGACTTGATGCACACGTTCTCCACTCCCTCCCACAAATAACTCCGCCCTTTCACTCGTTTCTTCCTGCGCAAGTCTTGCTCTTTCTCTCTCTAGAACTCTGTACAAAATCCACCTCTTTCTCTCTCTAGAACTCTGTATAAAATCGACCTCTTTCTCAATGCACCCAAAGGGCACCAAGGCAAGAGAGAAACCCATTGCACAGAAGTTAGAGAGAGAGAGAAACCCATTGCACAGAAGTTAGAGAGAGAGAGAAACCCATTGCACAGAAGTTAGAGAGAGAGAAACCCATTGCACAGAAGTTAGAGAGAAAAAACCCCATCGTCGATAACCAAGAGAGACCCTCACTGTACAGGAGTTAGAGAGAGAATGAGGAGAGAGGGAAGACAGCATGGGTTCGTGAGGACCTACAATGACAATTATCAGAAATCCGGCGCTACAGATGCCCATCATGTCCGAAAAGCGCCGCAAAAGCCCACAAACCAGTCAAGGTTCACCGGAAAGTGTGGGAGGCCAAGGTGCACAGGGTGCCATGATCTCCCTGTTACTAAGTCAAGGAACAAGACCAAGGGCGCCAAAAAGCTCAGGGATGTAGATGTCAGGGTGGATCATTTGATGTGGAGGGTCAAGGGCGGCGGTCATGGGTTGCCCGAGCTGTCCGGACTCTCGTCCTCAAGGTTGTTGGGATATCTGTTGGACTACGGTGATCATGAAATTGACTGCGAGGATGAGGAGCACGCTGAGGGGTATGGGTATGTGATGTCCGGAGAAGAAGGCTGGGGACTTGACTGCGAGGCTGGCGGCGATGTGATTCGCGAGGAACCTAGGGCTGCAGCAGCTGGCGACGATGAGATTCGTGAGGAATCCATAGCTGCTGCAGGTGGTTTTGGAGATTTGGAATTTGGGGAGGGTGGGATTGGGGGTAATGAAGATGGTGATGAGTATGATTTTGTTGCAGTTTTTCAATGGGAAAGTGAGGAGGAGGAAGATTGGTTCTTGATTTAAGATGAAATTTGAAGTTAATCTGGCCAGTCTCTCTGGTCCTCCTCTCTCTCTAAAAATTTGGTCTCTCTCTGGTCCTCCTCCTCTCTCTAAAAATTTGGTGCATTGTGTGGATATTTAGGGCAAAAATAAGGTGTTCCTTTCTTTCTCTCTAGACTGGTCCTCCTCTTTCTCTCTAAAGAGGCAGACAAGAAAAAAGATGGATTTTGTCTCTCTCTCTGTGATTTTTGTCATTTTTTCTTTTTCTGTGCTTCCTGTGATTTCATGGTGTTGGATAGAAGTTGTACGCAAGACGATAATGCTTGTATAAATGGAAGATGAGATCGAGACCGCTCGTTGAAGAAGTGAAGGGGAGGGAGAGGCCACTACGTTGAACCGTCCTCTTCAGTAATATCTTTCTCGAAGAAAACTGTGCTTGGAATGGTGACCTCTTATTTTCTGGTCTGATGGAGAGAGGAGAACCTCTTCTTCTCTGAGCATTTCCTATTTTTAACTTTCTCTCTCTAAGCTTTTTATATTGTTAACTCTCTCTCTCTAAGTAATTCATGTTCTTGTATGGACCTCTCTGGCTCATTTAGTCCCTCAAATTAGTTGCAATTTCTCTCTCTTATGTTTTTGGTGGGGATTGAATTGCATGAGAAATTTGAAAGCATAAGAGGCCACAATTACTTGAAATTTTATATTTGATAGCCTAAGTGTGTCATCCATAGATAGGTGTATCACAAAATATAGAAAATGTCTTTTTAATTCTTAGCAAGCGTGACAAAATTTATAGAAGTATCTTTTTGGTGCTTGGTCTGCCCACAAAATTGCATATTGATTGGATAAGATTAATTGTTATCACTTTATACCAAAGATAGAGAGACTTATTGTATACTCTATAGCAAAGATAAATAGACTCATTGTATACTCTTTTTTTTTTTGTTAGGAAAAAGTTTAAGAGCTATTTTTGGAGGGAAATAAGAGCATTGACTAATTATTAAGTATTAAGGGACAAGATTTTTATGTTTTCCTTACAACAAAAAACTTATGTAATTCTATTTTGAATGGATGATTGAGATGAACTCAATCACAAGGACTTATATATTTCTTCTTATCCAACTGTCTATTCTCAATGGATGGCTGAGATGACCTTGTATCTATACATTATTTTATTTTTAATTTTTTTCTAGAAATGATTTTGAAACCAAATTTTAGGTGTCCACTCCTCTCTTAAACTCGTACTTTTAAAAATATAAAAATGATAATTTCTAATAAAATAAAATAACTAAAATACTACTGAAAGTTTCAATGGATATTTTAGTCTTTATACTTTATTGAAAATTTATTTTTAATATCTTTCTTAGGTGTGCCCCATTGAGTAAACGATACATATCAAATTTCATATTCATACAATTTGTAGAAAAATAAATAAAAATAAAATACTATGAAACACCACATTCAAATAAAACGGTGAGTAGCAAAAAACAAACAAATAAATAAAGACAGGCGAGAGAGTTGAAAGAGATAGATATGGTTTGTTGGGGGATTGAGAGAGATAGAGGAAGAAAGTTGAGAGAAAGAGGGGTACGTGGGATTAAAAGTACCATATAAAATGAATTAAACATTACGGTAGTTAAAGTACCGTATAAAATGGAAACATTACGGTAGAAAGAATGATGTAAAGAAAATGTTATCTATTACGAAACATAATACTACTTCAAGTTATTACGGTATTTTAATTACCGTAATACTACTTCAAGTTATTATGGTATGTTAATTAGCGTAAAATTTAAATATTAATTATGGTAAAACGACAAGGTCATTTTCATCCAAAAAAACCCAAAAATGAAAAAAAAAGGGGTAGACGAGATTCCTGAAAGTTGGGTGTTTCCTTCCAATTAAGCTAAACTATAGGTATATTTACGATAATTACCCTATAGAATATTTTCTTATATGATTATTTGAAAATGATTGGTATGTGATTTTTGACATAAATTTCTATTTTTATATTTTCTCTATTTTTAGATTTTTAAACGCTCCCAACTATAAATATGCTTTTTTTTTTCTGAGTACATTTTTCTAAAGCTTTTTTAAATTTATTTGGACTCCTAAATATTGTTTTTAATTTTATATTGAGATTTTAGTACTTTCTTATTTTTTTGAAAATTTTTCTCTCTCTCTCCTTAATTTATTTAAGGCTTTTCAGCTTGGTGCATGACTTGGTCAAGTAACTCGCCTCAAGGAAGGGGTTAGTTCCTTGGCCAAAGCAAGTTTCTATGCATTCATCGTAGGTACTTAAAGTTACAATTAATTTTGAACATCAAGCCACTTCTTCAAAAGTTATCATTACTTCATTTGGAGGAAAAATTTTTGGTTTTGGAATTTGAATATTTTAGACAAAACCTGGATTGTTAAAGTTCATTGGAGAGGTCCGTTATCTTGTAGATCAAAGTTGGGATAGTTTCCTCTTTTTGACAAAAGAGAGATTGCACCAAGCAGTCAAGACTCTCAGTGTCAATGAAACAAGGAGAGATGATGAGACAAACCATGAAGGAAAGGTTATTGATCTTCAAAAGGATTGTTCATGGCTTTGGTTTCTGTTTTTCTCTGCTTCCAAGTTTCTCTTTGGATCCATTGAATGAAAGAAGGGTGGGGTTTCTATACCGTTGCAACTTTAAACAATCCAATTAAGGCGCACCTCCAAATTTTATCATAACATATAAGTTTTGTGTAAAAAAATTTTAGGCTTATTTGAAAATCTATTTTTATCTTTAATTATAAAATTTTAAACTTTAAAAATGGTAAAAATCAAGTAGATCTATAAACATATC